AGTTCTTTGTCAGTGTGATCTTTTCTCTTCTTTCCTCTAACCTGTTTGATCGAGTCATGTTAACAGTAAATGCCCCTTGAGGTAACTTTTGTTTTAAACATAATTCTGATGTGTATGAAAGCCAACCTTCAAAGTGAGTTTGTCATTTCACATATTTACTAGTACAGTACTTACTGTGAAAGAAATAGAATCGATCATTGCAATATGAGAAAGATCTGTTTAGTTCTTCTTTTAATCCATTTTGTTTTTATGATCAGTCTCAAAACATAACATGCACAACGAGAGATCAAGGGGAACATACATATAAAATTTGAGAAAGATCCCTCTGGTACTTCCCAAGAAATAGCGATAACAAACTTTCACTATCAAAATCCAAGATGGCTGCCTGATGGCCATGTTGTTTTTTTGATCAGTCTCAAAAGTTGCCCTGCACAGCTAAGGACCAAGGGGAACCTCCATATAAAATTTCAAGTACTTTCGGAGAAATAGCGATAACAAATTTTCACTATCAAAATCCAAGATGGCTGCCTGTCGGCCATGTTGTTTATCCAATCAGTCTCTAAATTTGCCCTGCACAGCTAGGACCAAGGAGAACCTACATATAAAATTTAAGAAAGATCCCTCTAGGTCTTCCGGAGAAAAGGCTGTAACAAACCTACACATCAAATTCCAAGATGGAAGCCTGTCGGCCATGTTGTTTATCCGATCAGTCATAAAAGTTGCCCTGCACAGCTAAGGACCAAGGGGAACCTACATATAAAATTTCAAGTACTTTCGGAGAAATAGCGATAACAAACTTTCAATATCAAAATCAAAGATGGCTGCCTGTCAGCCATGTTGTTTATCCGATCAGTCTCAAAAATTGCCCTTCAAAGCAATGGACTAAGGGGAACTCGCATAAAAAATTTGAGAAAGATCCCTCTGGTACTTCTTGAGAAATGGTGATAACAAACTTTCACTATCAAAATCCAAGATGGCTGCCTGTCGGCCATGTTGTTTATCCGATCAGTCTCAAAAATTGGACTCACAGCTTTGGAGTGAGGGGAACCTACATAAAATTTTTGAGAAAGACCCCTTAAGTGCCTCTTGAGAAATAGTGATAACAAACTTTCAATATCAAAATCCAAGATGGCTGCCTGTCGGCCATGTTGTTTATCCGATGAGTCTCAAAAGTTGCCCTGCACAGCTAAGGACCAAGGGGAACCTACATATAAAATTTGAGAAAGATCCCTCTAGTGCTTCTTGAGAAATAGCGATAACAAACTTTCAATATCAAAATCAAAGATGGCTACCTGTCGGCCATGTTGTTTATCAGATCAGTCTCAAAACAAGAGATCCCAGAGGGATCTTGGTGCCCACCTTTGTACCATCTTCATTAGTTCTTTGTCAGTTCGATCTTTTCTCTTCTTTCCTCTAATCTGTTTGATCAAGTCATGTTAACAGTAAATGCACCTTGAGGTAACTTTTGATCTAAACATAATACTGATGTGTATGAAAGCCAACCTTCAAAGTGAGTTTGTCATTTCACATATTTACTAGTACAGTACTTAATGTGAAAGAAATAGAATCGATCATTGCAATATGAGAAAGATCTGTTTAGTTCTTCTTTTAATCCATTTTGTTTTTANAACATAAAATTTAAGAAAGATCCCTCTAGGTCTTCCGGAGAAAAGGCGGTAACAAACCTATACTATCAAAATCCAAGATGGCAGCCCGTCGGCCATGTTGTTTATCCGATCAGTCTAAAAAGTTGCCCTGCACAGCTAAGGACCAAGGGGAACCTACATATAAAATTTCAAGTACTTTCGGAGAAATAGCGATAACAAATTTTCACTATCAAAATCCAAGATGGCTGCCTGATGGCCATGTTGTTTTTTTGATCAGTCTCAAAAGTTGCCCTGCACAGCTTAGGACCAAGTGGAACCTTCATATAAAATTTGAGAAATATCCCTCTGGTACTTCTTGAGAAATAGCGATAACAAACTTTCAATATAAAAATCCAAGATGGCTGCCTGTTTATCCGATCAGTCTTAAAAGTTGCCCTGCACAGTAAAGGACTAAGGGGAATCTGCATATAAAATATGAGAAAGATCCCTCTGGTACTTCTTGAGAAATACCGATAACAAGAATTGTTTAACGACGGACGATGGACGACCGACGGACCACGGGCGCAGGGTGATTTGAATAGCCCACCATCAGATGTTGGTGGGCTAAAAATAAAACTAATTAGTTGAGAGGTTTATGAGATATCTTTTACACAAACTTCTTACTTTAACAAGAGGCCCAATGGGCCTGCATCGCTCACCTGTTATTAGTCTAACACTTGTAATCTTAAGATTTCATAAGAACCTTTTAAAAGATTTAAACATATGACGCCTCTGACCTTGATTGTCGAACAAGGACATAAGGTTGAAAGTGGATCAAGGTCATTCATTTGAACAAACATGGTAGTCCTTCATCCCAGCATGCTACAGGCCGAATTTCAGTACCCTGGCCCTTTTGCTTATTGAAAAGAAGTCGCTTGAAGATTTTACGACATGTGACCCCTGTGACCTTGAAAGTTGGTCAAGGTCATTCATTTGATCAAACTTGGTAGCCCTTCATCCCAGCATGTTACAGGCCCAATATTAGTACCCTGGGCCTTTTGGTTATTGAGAAGAAGCTGTTTTAAGATTTTATGACATTTTACCCCTTTGACCTTTGAAAGTTGGTCAAGGTCATTCATTTGAACTAACTTGGTAATCCTTTATCCCAGCATGCTACAGGCCGAATTTCAGTACCCTGGCCCTTTTGCTTATTGAGAAGAAGTCGCTTGAAGATTTTACAACATTTTACCCCTGTGACCTTGAAAATTGGTCAAGGTCATTCATTTGAATAAACTTGGTAGCCCTTCATCCCAGCATGCTACAGGCCCAATATCAGTACCCTGGGCCTTTTGGTTATTGAGAAGAAGTTGTTTGAAGATTTTAAAGACATCTGACCAAATGACCTTGAAAGTGGGTCAAGGTCATTCATTTGAACAAACTTGGTAGCCCTTCATCCCAGCATGCTACTGGCCAAATATCACCACCTTAGGTCTCTTGGTTATTCAGTATAAGTTGTTTAAATGTTTTAAACATATTTGACCCCTGTGACCTTGAATATAAATCAAGGTCATTTATTTAATCAAACTTGTTAGGCCTTCATCCCAGCATGCTTCTGGCCAAATATCATCACCCTAGGCCTATCTTTTATTCAGAAGAAGTTGTTGAAAGGTGTTAAGCATATTTGACCCGTGACCTTGAATATAAGTCAAGGTCATTTATTTGAACAAACTTGGTAGCCCTTCATCCCAGCATGTTACTGGCCAAATATCATCACCCTAGGCCTATTGGTTATTCAGAAGAAGTTGTTTAAATGTTTTACACATATTTGACCCCTGTGACCTTGAATATAAACCAAGGTCATTTATTTGAACAAACTTAGTAGCCCTTTATCCCAGCATGTTACTGGCCAAATTTAGGCACCCTAGGCCTCTTGGTTATTCAGAAGAAGTAGTTTAAAGGTTTTAAACATATTTGACCCCTGTGACCTTGAATATAAATCAATGTCATCTATTTTAACAAACTTGGTAGCCCTTCATCCCAGCATGTTACTGGCCAAATATCATCACCCTAGGCCTATTGGTTATTCAGAAGAAGTTGTTGAAAGGTTTTTAACATATTTGACCCCTGTGACCTTGAAAATGGATGAAGGTCATTTATTTGAACAAACTTGTTAGGCCTTCATCCCAGCATGCTTCTGGCCAAATATCATCACCCTAGGCCTATCTTTTATTCAGAAGTTGTTGAAAGGTTTTAAGCATATTTGCCCCCTGTGACCTTGAATATAAGTCAAGGTCATTCATTTGAACAAACTTGGTAGCCCTTTATCCCCGCATGTTACTAGCCAAATTTAGGCACCCTAGGCATCTTGGTTATTCAGAAGAAGTTGTTTAAATGTTTTACACATATTTGACCCCTGTGACCTTGAAAATGGATGAAGGTCATTTATTTGAACAAACTTGTTAGGCCTTCATCCCAGCATGCTTCTGGCCAAATAACATCACCCTAGGCCTTATGGTTACTGAGAAGAAGTTGTGTAAAGTAAAATGTTGACGACAGACGGACGGACGACGGACTACGGACGCCGCACCATTCCATAAGCTCACTTGGCCCTTCGGCCCAGGTGAGCTAAAAATGGTCTAGCATGATCTTTGACTGAGATCTTTGACCTTTTATCATTGACCAATGACACCAAAATCTAATCAGGTGTAGAACTAAATATTACCATACTTTGGTATTAATATGAACCACATGCAAGAACAGTTACTTTGAAAGTAATGTGTACATGTATTGTTATAATAATCAGGAATTATCTAGTAGGACTAAAATGTTAAAACATACAGAAAAAATATTTAACTATAATACATAATATTGCAAGAGATTATTTTATTTAGGATAAAGTTTGTACCGATAAAGTTATATTTTGTATTTTGAAGATTTACATACACATGTTATGAGTAATGGATTAATACAATGAGTATTGCTCATTGGGAAAAAAAAGAAAAATGTTCAAAAATATAAAAGTGTTATGTCCTTTACTTAAACCTTGATTAAGCAGCCAACATCATGATTTCCCATAGGTGACTACTTTATAACCACAGGTGGACTATAGTTCTATATTTGACAATATTACTGTGCGAAAACCATCGTTAATCAGAATGAAGCATGCAAATATATTTATGCACAGATATTGCTCAAATTAAAACATGGCCTTAATCTCTGTATATTGATCATATCATAATTGGATACTGAAATCAGTTACTGCACTGAAATGAAAAATGAATAGAGGAAAACAAGCAGGCATACAGATGGACAAGGTGATTCACTACAGGGCTTATACATAGACCCTAATAACTGTAGGCCTTAATATAGCAAAATAGACGTTACTTAAACAAAAAGTTGATTGAAGATACTTACTTCACTATGTCCATTTTAATTTGTGAATCATTTTGTGATAAGCATAAGTATGCACCTCCTTCAGCATCAGCATCATTCAGAAGTGAAGGAGAAAACACAGCATGGAAGACAACTTTTATGCAGTCAGAACGGGTCCTTGTGCTTGGCCTAAAAAAAAATATACCAATATACATCTCCATGTTTAAAAGAATACAGGGAGGACTTATTCATAAATAGCTATTTAGCTTCCCATTTGCTATAAGTATGTTACTAGTAGGTCACTTTAAAACTTGACAAACACTCGTTTCACCTCTTCATACAATTTGTCATTTACCTCTGTCCAATGTTCTTATACTTTTCACAAGCAATTCATAATGCTTTATAGGAAGCGGTCTTGAGAGGTCTGAATTTAATCAGATTGGACTTATTTCTTAAGGGTTTCTCAATCATAAACACTTCCCTTGAAAACAAGTGTGTATTTAGAGATTGATCAGTGTTCAGATTCTTTGAAAATATCTGTGATTTTGAAACTTGGTAGGGATCCTACATCCAAAGCCCTATATATAATGAGTGACAATCAAATGATCATTATCGGACCTACAACAGATCATCTTTCACAGTTCCTTCTTTGCTCTTCATTTTCCTTACAAGTACTATTACACATTCCCATGTTGGAAATCCTAAATGGGAATCTTGTATATTAACTTAAACCTCATAATGTCATATGTTATTTGCTACTTTGGCAAATATAATTGTATAAGAATTGCTTAAATATATGCAAAAATGCTATCAAGTGCTGTCAATGAGAGATAAATTATCAGGATTGTTTTTAACAAAGGAGAATGTACATATGAAATTTGAGAAAGATCCCTCCAGTACTTTCTGTGAAATAGAGATAACAAGAGGGCCTGTATAGCTCACCTGGATAATAAAGCAACCATGGGCAAATATTCTCATTAAATATAATACTGCAACTATTTCCAAATATTGACTCTGTCTCTCACAAACACCCGTACTTTATTAGGTCCCTTCTTTCTGACCCCATGAATTTCGGTGATTTTAAACCTTCCCCTCAATTTCGCCTGTTTGGCCCCACCCCTCTGCCTCCAAATAGCAACCCTTCATTTATACAAAATTGAGTCCCCTTTGCCCAACAATGCTCTCCACAAAATTTTGTTGAAATCCCTCCAATCAAACTGAAAAAGAAGGGCTTGAAAGAATAACCTCAAGTTCCCCTACTGGACAAAATCGGCTGCTCTAAATAAAATTTGGTTTTTATCCCCCCAATCAAACAGATTTTAAACATTTACCTTCATTTCCCTGTAGGGCCCTAGGGGATGGGGGAGGGGGGGGGGCACATCCTCTGTTTATACAAAATTGAATCCCCTGTGCCAAAGAATGCTTTACACAAATTCCTCTAATGGCACTGGAAGAGAAGGATTTTAAACATTTATTACTATGTTCCTTTTATTGGGGCCTGCGCAATATTTCAACCCCCTCTGTCCCTGCCCCTGGGGGTCATATTCAAAAATCCGAAAGTGTTGTGCACTCCTCCATACATATATCTACCATGTTGAAAAGTTTCAAGTTCTTCTTCAAACATTGTAGAAAAAGTTATTTTACCCCTTATCCCTCAAGTACCCACCCCCTCGTTATAACATATGCTAAAATAAATTACTGTAAAATATAGAACTCATAATAACTCATAATAATGTTTGATTTGATATGATAAAATACTTTTTCTTTTTTTTAATATTTGTCAACTCGGATGTTTACTTGTACTAAAGTGTCTAACAGGTGTTATAAAGGTAAGTTACAGGTAATTTGTATACCTTTTTACTTGTATAAGTTCAATATATATATTTCTTTAGTTGTTTCCACTGCAATTAATGTTTAAAATAAAATAAAGACAATTTTCTAAGCTCAACTCATCTTTTACCTGGTATTTTGTAATGTATTCACAGGTAAATCTCATTAACATCCATCATGAAAAATCAAGGTACAGTTCCAAAGACTCATGAATAAACTGATTGAAAATATCGGCTTTCTTTTTAATTTTTTCAATAAATTCATAACAAGTGTTCTGAAGCTAGAAATGTTGCCAAAGTCAGGTTAGTCCACATTCTACATGTATACAAAATATTGTCAGGTAAGCTCAGGTGTGCTTCGAAAGCTCGTTAGCATACCTGTGTATGTAGTCTATTACCAAAAATACACTTTTGTGTGAAAATCATGGTAACATGTGCTGTGTGCATTACAGTACAAAGCACCACCACATTTCTCACAAGCCATGGTTGTTTTTGAGCGTTTGTAAGGATTGTCCTTTACTGCAGAACCGGGGTGACTGGCCATGCAGTTTCTATGCTTCCTGTTGCACACAACACAAAGGCAGTCTTTTCCTCCCGCGGCGATGGGCAAGTGACCATTACCATCTACTCTTGCATCGTTGTTTGCATCAGATCTAGGCCTCCTGAAACACTATCTAAAACATTTCTGAATTCTCCAATAAGACTGTGGGCCAGCTCCAGTTTGAAGGTCATAAAATCTCTTTTCCTGTGATTTGCGGGACTCTGATGGATGAAGTTACCTTCAATAATGTATGCATTATAAGCAGCACATTCCCTCAGTTTCACTTCAATTTTGTGATACCATCTCATGCATTTCTTGGATTTGTTGATACAAGTCATCTATTCGAGTCGGTCTACTCCACCCATGTACTGGGCATAAGCTGCCTGGACAGGTGTGGACTTCAGCAATATCTGTGCCATCCTTGTTCTTAATTCTTGTCACCAGCTGATCATCCTCTGGGTCATGGAATGTGGACAAGTAGGAAACCACTCTGTTATCTTTCCACCATCTAGCCAACAGATTACCATTCATCAGCCAATCAGAATTTCCCCTTTCAATTTTTTTCTCATCTGAGATTTTTCACTACAAGTTTTTTCGGGATTCCTCTCCGGTTGCATCGAATTGTACCACAGAGGTAAGTGTTCCTGGACAACAAATAGTCTGCCAAAAATGGACTGGTATAAAAGTTATCTGTGAATATCACATGCCCCTTCATTTCTAAAAACTTTGTCACCTCAATCACAACTCTGGAGGACAGTCCAAACACTTTGTTCACAATGTCTGAATTTTTCACAACATACACCTCATAATTCAAACAATAAGCTGAAACTGCATCAGTCGCCATCCATAACTTTATTACAAACTTTACTGGCTTGTCCTTCATATACTGTTTCATGCCCAGGCGGCCTTTGAATGGAACCATTGCTTCGTCTACAGATATTTCCCTATGGGGCAAATACTCCCTCTGAAATGCTTGTCTACAATGATCCAGCATGAATCTTATCTTATGGAGTTTATCATTAGCATTTGCACCTGTATCATCGCTGAATTGAAGGTATTTCTTGATTTGGATAAATCGGTCACGGGACATTACTTCTCCAAGTTTTGAACCAACCAGCCAAATGTTAGTATTTTCTGTCCAGTACAGTTCATCATGTTCAAATTGCATTATTTCCATCAATATCAACATACCGTAATATTTCCATCAATATCAACATACCGTAATATGCTTTCATTTCGGGTAGTGTTACCGGTGTACAAATACCTTTGTCACCGCAATGTTTCCGTTTCGTTTCCGCATTCAAATTTGTAAAATTCACAATTTCTTCAAACAGATCGTCACTGTAGAACTGGAAGTAATCAAGTGCTGTAGCAGATGTATCAAATACACGAGTCGGCCCAACTCTCTCACGAAAATCAATGTTATTTCTTGGTGTTTGTATTTTCACCCAATCGTTCTCCTCGTATGTTGGTCCTTTGTATATTTCCTCTGGCTCAAAACCGTCCCAATCAGCTTCTGAATCACTGCTATCCCCCATGGTATCATTCCATTCTCTCAGTAATTGCTGTCTTTGTCTTCCATTTACATTCACTAAGTCAAAATTTTGAAGCTTTTCCAGTATTTCGTCCCCGGAAAAGTCAGAATCTTCATCGGATGTCGCCATTTTGGATCCAAATTTATTCTATTTTCACTTTCGGGGAAGCCATTATATATATATACAAACATCGGGAAATCATCGGATATTTCCATTGAAACATACCCAAAACCTAGAGATTTATAAAGTACAGGTACTGTAGTCCCAGGATGCACACGTCATTTGGCCATATTTATCAGCCAATCTGAGTGGAGATCGTATAAATAGAGGTATTACCTGAGACCGCTAAAGCGGTCTGCAGTGTTGTAGGGGTTGCGACCCCTGGACCGCTTTAGCAGTCTGCAGTGGTGAAAGAGTTGTCTGAAAGAGCTATGGTGGGTTGCTATGCCTATTTCCCCAAAGCTATGATGCACTACAGCGCATGCTTCCAACCGTGCACTGTCATGACGCGTCCTTAGGTATTTCTATACATGAAGCTCGATCGGAATCCCGTGCCTAAGAATAGATTATTGGAAACAGACGAATTCAAGGTCATGGTCACTAATACATGCGTTTCACGATAAAGACTCAACAAAATGCGTATTTCGCATTTTGCTGTTTAAACACAAGATCGTACAATCATTACCAACAAGTTTGAAAGGATTTAGTTTTCATTACTACTGCTACGTCATGCCGTTACATGTTTTCCTAAAAACACACATCTTGATTTTGTTCTTCCTTTACCTTGGAATGATAAAATTACATATAACTTTTGAATAGCATGTTTTACACGTGTATTGCGCTCCTAACTTTGTGCTGCAGTCTTCCTGCATTTAAAACAAATGAGACTGGCCTCGACAATGAATTTTCCCGCATGTTCGGTAATATCTTTGTGATATTTTTTGCTTTGCCTTTGTTTTTATTCTGTTTAGTTTCAACATATTTATTGCCAAAATTAGACAAGGGATTAGGCACATTTTATAACAACTTATCAACGCCTTCTCCCGATATACATTTGAAATGACATTACAATAATGACAATAACTATATACAATTGTTATTACAATTTGAACTCAAAATCTCTTGCTGGATTTAATAAAGTTTTGCACAGATCTAAAAATGTTTGAGTTATTCTGACTCAACAATTATATTATGTTTTTCGGCATCGTTTGTTTGCATTAAGATAATGAATAAAAATACTAGTGCCAATTGGAGGGTAAAACAATTCATAAATATTTAAAATGATGTCTCAACTACAAAGAGTAGCTGTACTGTACACGCAAACAGGGATTTGTTGACATGATTCCATAGAAGATAAATCAATAGGTATGTTATTAAAATATCAATAAAATGTTCTATTGATTTGAAAAATATTTATCACCTAATTGAGGAAAATGATCACATGCCTAAATATTTAAAAAAAAAGATAAAAAAGTATATCTGAATGGTGATTTGAACCTACACTATTCACATATTCTGGTCACAAGCTAACCGTGTTACACATAAGGCTACATCGGACATACACAAAAATGAAAATACAAAATGCTTTAACCCAAGAAACATCTGTCGCAGTTTTAAAAACTTGATCAACCCAGTTTTTCATTATTTTGAGAACTTTCCCAAAGGAGGATCACTTTTCGGTCATACAATTTGTTTTTGCATATTACATCACGGAATCAAAACGTTTAGTCAAAAGTTGGTTCTCGGATGGGAAAGTATTGAAAGTATTTTTTTAAGTCTAGGAAACCCCTTCACTTTCATAGATAAAGTGAATATGGCTATATTTGCAGTATTATATTAACGATAGCGAATATCTCAACAGTTCAAAAATTCATATTCAATCAATTTATATATATTCCATGCATTTTTGCTACTAAAGATTATTAAATCATCAATATTTTTTTCTGTTTTCAAAAATGCCGTCTTAAGGAAACACGGGCAGTGTTTCGCCATAGCTCTTTTCAATATACTTGACCGTGACCTTGACAGTAGGTATTATACAGGTCATAGTATGAATAAAGTTTATAAAAGTTCTTTCCTGTGTAGATACTAGTCAAATATCAGGATCGAAGGTATTTCAGTTTTAAAGAAGGCATTTTAAAGAGAAACATTATAGAAGAAGGACCCAACAAAATACCTCTGTTTACAGACACTTCATGCCAGTTCAATTAACAAAATGTTTTAGGTGCCTCTTCAAACAAAAGTGTGAATGGAACAAGAGGCCTAATGGGCCTGAATCGCTCACCTGGTATTAATTTCACACTTGTTATCTTATAAGTGGACTAAAATACAACTACAGGCAGAATATTGGTGTTTGATTAATAAGAACCTATTAAAATATTTAAACATATGACACTTGTGACCTTGAATGTCGAACAAGGTTATTAGGTTGAACAGAATTTATAGTCTTCCAACCCAGCATGCTTCTAGCAAAATAGCAGTACCCTGAACTTTTTGGTTATACAGAACAAATCATTTAAAGATTTAAACATATATTGACCACGGTGACCTTGAATATGGGCGAAAATTATTCATTTGAACAAACTTGGTAACCCTTCATCCCAGCATGTTACTGGCCAAATATCATTACCCTAGTCCTCTTGGTTATTCAGAAGAAGATGTTTAAAGGTTTTAAACATATTTGACCCCTGTGACCTTGAATATAAGTCAAGGTGATTTATTTGAACAAACTTGGTAGCCTTTCATCCCAGCATGTTACAGGCTAAATATCATCACCCTAGGCCTCTTGGTTATTCAGAAGAAGTTGCTTAAATATTTTAACATATTTGACCCCTGTGACCTTGAAAATTAATGGAGGTCATTTATTTGAACAAACTTGGTAGCCCTTCATTCCAGCATGTTACTGGCCAAATATCATCATCCTAGGCCTCTTGGTTATTCAGAAGAAGTTGTTTAAATGTTTTCAACATATTTGACCCCTGTGACCTTGAACATTGATGAAGGCCATTTATCCCAGCATGTTACTGGCCAAATATCATTACCCTAGTCCTCTTGGTTATCAGAAGAAGTTGTTTAAAGGTTTTAAACATATTTGCCCCCTGTGACCTTGAATATAAGTCAAGGTCATTTATTTAAACAAACTTGGTAGCCCTTCATTTCAGCATGTTACTGGCCAAATATCATCACCCTAGGCCTCTTGGTTATTCAGAAGAAGTTGTTTAAATGTTTTCAACATATTTGACCCCTGTGACCTTGAACATTGATGAAGGTCATTTATCCCAGCATGTTACTGGCCAAATATCATTACCCTAGTCCTCTTGGTTATTCAGAAGAAGTTGTTTAAAGGTTTTAAACATATTTGCCCCCTGTGACCTTGAATATAAGTCAAGGTCATTTATTTGAACAAACTTGGTAGCCTTTCATCCCAGCATGTTACAGGCTAAATATCATCACCCTAGGCCTCTTGGTTATTCAGAAGAAGTTGCTTAAATATTTTAACATATTTGACCCCTGTGACCTTGAAAATTAATGGAGGTCATTTATTTGAACAAACTTGGTAGCCCTTCATCCCAGCATGCTTCTGGCCAAAATCATAACCCTAGGCCTTTTGGTTATTGAGAAGAAGTTGTTTAAAGTAAAAAGTTGACGGCGGACTACGGTCGGACGGCGGACGAACGACGGACGCCGCACCATGCCATAAGCTCACTTGGCCCTTCGGGCCAGGTGAGCTAAAAATAGAAGACAATGCAGACTACACAATAATACAACCTATCATTCAAGTGCATATGAAAAGTCTGTTCTCATCATATATAAATGTATTCTCCAATATGAATAATAAGACTTTCCAAATCTATTCCAGCTATTACAATTACCTTTTCTCAGATGGCAGGTTTGATGAAACTGAATCAGTGGTCCTTGTTGAAGAGCCTGGATCAGTCTGTTAAAAGAAAAAAAATCATGATGCTAGGAAAACATTAACATATAAGGTAGCAGTGTACAGTAGAAATGGCTTGACCTTAAAAATAAAGGACATGTTTCACAAAAACATGGATAGTGAATTCAACCTGCACAACACACCTACATATATATACATATTTATAAACTACATTTTGATTTCATTTTGTTTAGAAGACTCGGTTTTTTTTTCAAAAACTGTTTTCCCCAGATTTGGGACTTGTGAAAACCATGGTTACCACACCAAAATACACCAAAATATGCAAAAAATCATGATTTTTTCCCAAAAATTTGACCGACACAAGTAGATTTTTTTTCTCTTAAAACCTGTCTGAAAATACATATCGCCTACTCATTAAATACTCTAGTTTTAGCATAGGTCATTCCGGTGGAATTTTCACAATATTTACACATGTGCTGAGTACAAAAATAGACTACATGAAAAGGTAGCTTCTGTTGTGTAGACACAGATTTGTAAATACCCAAAACTGTAGTCTCAAACCAAATTCGATTTTTTTTTTTAAATTATGAAGCCCACATAGTCCACTTCATCATGTATATGCCAATTTTAGTGCTGTTTTTTTTTTTTAATTTTGATACATGTTATATTACAGGGGTTATTCATTGTATAAAAATATCACCCATGGCTATCGTACGCTACTGTACACTGCTACCTAAGAGTTGTCATCTCAAATCAGGTACAGTTCAACCTTAATATCATTTCATATTTCAAGTATTAGGAAAAAACTAAAATTAACACTTTCTCTGTTTCAGTAAACAGACTTAGCAAGCTTTTTTATCTTTTGTGTTATATATACAGTCACAATTGATAAAAACGAAATAAATATATCATAGTTTGTCAAAGAAATAGATGCCAGAATAATGAAAATGTAAAGTAAAAGTGAACAAGAGATTCCAGAGGGATCTTGGCGCCCACTATCGTACCATCTTCATTAGTTCTATGTTAGATCGATGATTTCTCTTCTTTTCTCTATCTGTTTGATCGTGTCATGTATACAGTAAAAGCACCTTACTAGGCAACTTTTGATCTAAACTTCATACTTGTATAAAAGACAACTTTTGAGGTGAGTTTGTTGTTTTACATATTTACTAGTACTAAATGTGAAAGAAATAGAACCGATCATTGCAATATGAGAAAGACCTGTTCAGTTCTTCCTGCAGCCATCTTGTTTTTATGATCATGCACTCTCAAAATATAACATGCACAACAACAGACCAAGGGGAACCTACATATCAAATTTGACAAAGATCCCTAAAGTACTTTCTGAGAATTATAGCAATAACAAACTTTAACTGTCAAAATCCAAGATGGCCACCTGTCAACAATTGTGTTTATTCCATCAGTCACAAAAGTAAACATGCACAATAAATGACCAAGGGGAACATACATAACAAATTCTAGAAAGATCCATCCAGTACTTTCTGAGAAATAGCGATAACAAACATTCACTGTCAAAAAACAAGATGGCCACCAGTCAGTCATATTATTTATCCGATCAGTCTCAAAACTGAACAAGCACAAAGACGACCAAGGGGAGCATACATATCAAATTTGAGAAAGATCCCTCCATCACTTCCTGCGATATAGCAATAACAAATATACTATCAAAATCCAAGATGGCCACTTGTAAGTAATTTTGCTTAACCAATCAGTCTCAGAAGTAAACATACACAAGTACAGACCAAGGGGATCGTACATAGCAAACTTAAGAAAGATCCATCTAGTACTTTCTGCAAAATAGCGACAACAAACCTTCAAATCCAAGATGGCTGCCTATCAGCCATTTTGTTTAAACGATCAGTGTCAAAATTTGATATGCATAACTAGCCACCATTGGAATCTTTTATGTGAAATTTGAGAAAGATCAATATAGTAATTTCTGAAAATAGTGCTAACAAACTTTAACTCAATAAATTCAAGATGGCGCATATTGGCCATCTTGGTTTTCTGATCAGTATCAGAAAGCAATATGCATAACAAGGGACCATGGGGAAACCTTCATGTGAAATTTGAGAAAGTTAACTCCAGTCCTTTCTGAGAAATAGCACTAACAATCTTTCACAAAAAAGGATATGCATAACTAAGGATCATTGGAAACCTTCATGTGAAGTTTGAAAAAGATCCCTCCAGTACTTTTTGAGAAATAGTGCTAACAAACTTTAACTCTCAAATTCAAGATGGCTGGTTGTCGGACATCTTGGTTTTCTGATCAGTATCAAAAAGCGATATGCTTTACTAGTGACTATGGGGAACCTTCATGTGAAATTTGAGAAAGATACCTCCAGTACTTTTTTTGAGAAATAGCGCTAACAATCTTTAACTTTCAATTTTAAGATGGCTGCCTGTTGGCCATCCTCTTTTGGTGATCAGTCCCAAAAAACGATATGCATAACTAAGGATCATGGGGAACCTTCATGTGAAGTTTGAGAAAGATCCCTCCAGTACTTTTGGAGAAATAGGGCTAACAAACTTTACCTATCAAATTCAAGATTGCTGATTGTCAGCCATCTTGGTTTTCTGATCAGAATCAAAAACCGATATGCATAACTAAGGACCATGGGGAACCTTCAAGTGAAATTTGAGTGAGATACCTCCAGTAAATTCTGAGAAATAGCGCTAACAAACTTAAACTCTCAAATTCAAGATGGGGCATATCGGCCATCTTGGTTTTCCGATCAGTCCCAAAAATCGATATGCATAACCAAAGATCATGATGAAGCTTCAAGTGAAATCTGAGAAAGATCCCTCCCAGCTTTCTGAGAAATAGCGCTAACAAGAATTGTTTACGGAATGACGGGCAGACCATGGACCACAGACGCAGGGTGATTTGAATAGCCCACCATCTGATGATCGTGGGCTTAAAATCCAAGATTGCCATCAATTTGCTGTATTGTTTATCCAATCAGTCTCAAAGTAAACACGGACAAAAAAAAACAAAGGGGAACCTACATGTCAACTTCCTCAAAAATAACTATCACAAATATATTGTCAAGATCCTAGATGATCAACTATCAGTTCTTCCTGCAGCCATCTTGTTTTTATGATCACAAAAATATCAAAATGTAACAGACCAAGGGGAACCTACATATTAAATTTGAGAAAGATCCCTTCAGTAATTTCTGAGAAATAGTGCTAACAACCTTTTACTTTAAAACATTAAAGATGGCGCCTATAGGCCGTCTTGGTTTTCTGATCAGTCCCAAAACTTGATATGCATAACAACAGACCATAGGGAACCTTCATGTAAAATTTGAGAAAGATCCCTTTCGGACTTTCTGAGAAATAGCATTAACAAGCTTTAACTTGAACAATGCAAGATGGTGCTTGTTGGCCATCTTGGTTTTTTCCAATCAGTCCGTAAATTCTGAGAAATAGTGCTAACAAGTATTGTTTAAGGATAATCAGAATGACGGACGGACCACACGGACGGACAGGGGCGATTTGATGATGGTAGGTTGATGATGGTAGGCTAAAAACAAAGAGTACAGATGAAATGGAACGGCAATGCATCATGATCAGTGCGTAAATAATTTACATATAACTCTTCTGAAGCTGGTGGCTGATCCACACCTTCAACTATGTTTATGTTACTTGCTTCATTTGTTTTCTACTTACTCTTCCTGATGTTGAACCTTCACCATGATTTTGACCTTTCTCTTTTTTATACTGTGTAAAAGGATTGTCATCTGTCTTTTCTTTCTTTCTCTCTTCTTCTTTTCTCTTTTTTCTTGCTTTCTTTTTCTCACGTTTGGATTTGGTACTGCTGTTGTTTTTGTCTTTGTTTTTCTTCTTTTGAGAATCTCCTTCATTTTGATTAAGGCTGTTATCATCCTCATTGTCATCTTCATCATTGCTAGATCCACTTTCCTCATCACTCCTGCTCACCACTGAAGCAGTGTCCTGAATGTTTGGATCTTTATCCACATCCTTGCTGGACTCTTTAGAAGATGTATGGGTACTCTCTTGTTTTGAATCATTAACACTAGAGAAAAGAGATAATTCTCTCAATGCCTCTCCAACAGGCTTCAATTCTTCAGCTGTTTCTGCAAGAGGTGAACCGTCACCATAAAGCTCGTCATCCTTTATTTCAACTGTTTTAGATACCTCTCTAAATCTTTCATCTGGATTCTGCCACACACCAGCACTGCTCTTTTGCCTAGAACTTCCAGTGAAATTGAAAATGCCTTTCTGTGATGACCCTGTGTCTGCACTACTGTTACCCTCTGCTGTACGTTGTAGTATAGGGCCTGAAGGAACTGAAGCAGTGGCTGACTCGCCCTGACCATCCTTTACTGGTACAGGTTTCTGTGTTGGTCCATCCCCACTCTCTGTGATACCATCCTCATTCAGACCAGGTGAAGGTTTTGCTTTGACAACAGAAGCAGCAGCATCTCCTTTAGGAGTTAGTCCAGGCAGTGTGTGAACCTCATGTCCAAGAAGGGAAAATGTTGGGGGCTGCCAAGTATCTCCATGATGACCATCGTTATCTTTTCTCTTCTGTGATTCCCCATATTGGTCTTCATCTGACTTTTCATTTTTTTGTAGAATGTTGAGGCTACTCTGAAATTTGTCTGACACCTGCTTTGGATTGTAACAGTCATTGCCTTCGTCACTATTGACTTCTGCAACAGCCTTGTCATTTCCATCACCATACAAAATGTTGAGTTTTGCTCCTGTTGACTGTGAAGTTTGATCAGATGTACTTCCTTGTACCTCTGGTGCCAGCTGGTTTTTGACTGTAGAACCAGTGTTGTCTCCTTGGTTGGGTGGTTCAGTGATACCTCCACAGATGTCTCCATGTTGTGCTTTGTTTTTAATCTCCCCTGAAGAACCTCCAGCTTCACCTCCTTCACTAAACAAAACCTTCAGTTTTGCTCCTGATGTTTGAGGGTTCTGGCCTGCAGAATGTTGTGAGATTTGTTTCCCAGATTTATTGCTTGTTGATTGTTCTGTACCAGGTTTTCCAGTTGTCTCACTTGTCTCAGTTCTACCAGTCAACTGTGATCTAGGGTCAGTAAAGGGCGGCTCACTCTTCTGTGAATGTTGTTCTGTACCAGGTTTTCCAGTTGTCTCACTTGTCTCAGTTCTACCAGTCAACTGTGATCTAGGGTCAGTAAAGGGTGGCTCACTCTTCTGTGAATGTTGTTCTGTACCAGGTTTTCCAGTTGTCTCACTTGTCTCAGTTCTACCAGTCAACTGTGGTCCAGGGTCAGGAAAGGGTGGCTCACTCTTCTGTGAATGTTGTTCTGTACCAGGTTTTCCAGTTGTCTCACTTGTCTCAATTTTACCAGTCGACTGTGATCCAGGGTCAGGAAAGGGTGGCTCACTATTCTGTGAATGTTGTTCTGTACCAGGTTTTCCAGCTGTCTCCCTTGTCTCAGTTCTACCAGTCGACTGTGATCCAGGGTCAGTAAAGGGTGGCTCACTCTTCTGTGAATGTTGTTCCGTCAGTGTTTCCTCATGTTGACTCTGTGTCTGTGTCTGGTCCACAGACTTACTATCAGCAGACTTACTGCTGTCAGCAGAACGCACATGGTCTTTCTGTACAGCAGTTGGTGCAGCACCTTTGTCTGTAATAAAATCAAATAATTACTACACACTTTTATTTTATTTTATTGAATGAAACTAATTGAAATCGAAAAAAAATTAAACACTGTTAGAACAATTAAATTACTCTTTGGAACAAACATGAGTTAAACAATTAGGACCTTAAAAATCCAGGTTTGTTTGATGTTTCCGGGTTACTTTAACAGTTACCCTGTACTATGATATGCAACAAGGAAATGTAATAGCATTCCCAGGATTCAAATTTGGGACAGCAACAGTTCTGAAACATGTACATGTACAGGAGAGTGAGCATTATGACCTATGACCTTGGTGGGCATAGCTTTGACAATGCATTAAACATGCTATACGTTCATGGCATACCGATATTGAAGATATGTATTGTAATCACATTGTAAAAATCCTTCATTCTTTTTCTTCTTTATTGGTCTGTAATTTGCTGAGTTGTACTTGTCTCCTTTTTTGTAAACTGGGTTGGCGTTTGCATGTTCCTGTAATGAGCGAGCGGGTGAAGATTTTTGTGAGAATGGGTGCCGTGATGTCACTTAATTCTTTAAGTATTCTGCCGTGTATATTGTCAGGTCCTGTTGCTGTATGTGGGTTGATGTTGTTAAGTAGTTTATTGCTGCCTTGTTGTGTAATGTGTATTTCTGGCATGAGAGGGTGTGGAGAAGGTCCTTTGTCTGGTACGGGGCAGTCCTGTTCTGTGGTGAAGGCAGATTTAAATTATTCGTTTAGTATGATTGCCTTACATGTGGTGTCAGTTTTTAGTTACAAGTCCATCTGTACGTAATGTCAGTTATGTCAGTGTTTTCTTTTCTTGTGGTTTTTATGTAGGAGAATAGTTTTTTGGAATTGAATTTTTTGCTAAGCGAGGGTGTGCTGGCCATGGGTTCGTCTATTGGGAGGTCTTTTATCATTTTTTCTATGTAGTTTAGATATATGTGTTGCGTGTTTGTTTTTGTAGTTCTGATTTTGCTGATTTGTATTTCTGTATAAGATAATGTTTTGTTTTGCTTTTCGCGTGTAATTGTTTACATTTCCTGATGAGTCGAAGGAGAGAATGTGTTATCCAGGGGAGTTTGGACTTATGTGTGATGTGTTTTTGTGGGATATTTTTGGTGACTGAATTATTAAGTGTTGTTTTGAACATGTTCCAAAGATTGCCTGAGGTTTGGTTAGTTTGTTCGTCAATAAGTTTTGTGTTTAGAAGTGTGAGATCGTTTCTTATGTTGTTCCAGTCAGCTTTGTGATAGAGGTATATGTTTCGGGGTTCTCTTCTTCTTCTATTCAGTCGAAGGTCCATTTCAGTGTAGACTATGTCATGGTCAGATTTGCCTATAGGTAGTGTGGTTTCAGTCTTGTTAATGATTGATGGTCTGTTTGTAAGTGTCAGGTCGAGTATGTGGTCTCCTCTGGTGGGCTTTATCGTTAATTGTGTGAGGGAGTTGTTGTCTATGATGTCCAGAAGGTGCTTGTTCTTGTTTGCCTGGTATGGTTGTGTTGTTTTGCCAGTCTATGTGTGGTAAGTTCAAATCTCCACTTATGTATGTTATTGTGTTGTTGTTTTGACCTAGTCTGTTCATAGAGATTTCTAGTTGTTTTAGTGAGTGTCCTTTGTCTGATGGTGGTCTTTAGTATGCACCTATGATGAGGTTGTGTGAATTTGTCACGGAGATGTTTACCCAAATTGATTCACTGTCTGTTTCTTATTCTTTTATCTGTTCTGTGTGGTATTTGTTGGTGATTGCAAGTAGTACACCTCCGTGGCTTTGGCCATGTTTATTTGGGGTGCTGTCTTTTTGGTAGACAGTGTACTCGGTGATTGGGAAGTATTCATATGGGGAGATTGCGTTGTTGAACCATGTTTCTGTTCCTATTATGATGTCTGGTTTGAGTGAGTGTATTATTTAATCGAGGTCAGGTTTTTTGTTTGAAATGGATTGGAAGTTAATGCATGGTGGCTTTGCGTATTGGTTTAGCAAATTTGTTGTAGCTAGTGGCAGTCTTGTTGTTTTGTTTTATTGGTGAGGAGGATGCTGTGGGTGGGCCTGGGCTGGTGGGGTTGTCGTGTAAGCTTGAGTTTGTGCAAGAGTTGTTCAGTCGTGAAAATCTGTTTGATGTGTCAATGCTTGTGTTGTCAAATAGTGTTGTGGAGAAGTTTGGAAGCCCGCAGCTTAGACAGTCCTAAGATACCCCGCTATGGTCGTAGTATTTGAGGGATGATTTATTCATTCCCTGGCAGTCGACATGGAACTATTATTACATTGAAAACATTCTTACTCATCTCATCTTAAAAGGGACAACAATAAATAGAGAATTGTTTTTCAAACATTATGATCGAATGATATGTATTTGATTAGGAAATTTGTTTACCAGATGTGCAGATGGGACAAGTAGTCTCCTGTTTCCTGATGACTCCTGTACATCTGGTTCCCTGGCTGTCAGCCCCACACACCCTGGACCCAGGCTCAAATATGGACTGGTTTACTCTCCATCCGCAAGAAATACAGAATTTTGGACCTTGAACAAGTTCTTTGTTGCATGGATTTCCTTCGTCTGTTCCAGGACAGGCGACAGTGTCTTTAGGTTTGTCCAAAATAGTCACTTTGTGAACACGCGTACCACATTCTGGACAGAATCTGACATCTGGTAAGAGGTCAACTCCACATGGTCCACCATCGTCCTTCAAACCCTGACACTTCACCATGTCAGAGGCTTTCAAATTCACCTGTAACATATGAATGATTGTTTTCTTATGATATGAAGATATCAAACAGGCCAGACAGCTAGCAGATTTAGGTATGTATATAAATTAAATTTTGTTATATAAAAATATTGTACATATATCGATATTTAATTTTCGTATGGTGATACGATACAATATGTCTGTGTAATGGATATATACTGGGAGGTTTATATATTGTGACAGCCTTACTGTGTACTGGTGGATTAAGTAACTGATAGGTTCTGGAACTGAACTTCCTTTTACATTTTTTTTTTTCTTTTTTATGTTTAAATGTTCGTTTCTTGGCAGATTTGGAAATGGAGCAATACAGTTTACTGAAGGAGGTAAAGGGAAGAAATGTACTGATTTATTTTTTTAATTTACTAGAGTTCTGCAAAGCTCTGTTCAAAGTATGTCAGTATGTTTACTTTTGTCTAACAACAATGTCTCAGTTCCAATTTCATTGTTAATCAAACCTGTATATAAAAATTGAAAAATGGTTTCAATGAAGTGTTAATTTGGCATGATTTTTTTTTTTTTGTAATCTGTACCAAATCCTCTAATAAACTGTCAAGCAAAAAAAATGTGACTGAAATGTGAGGAAAATTATGTATGACTTGTCAAACCCTGGTGATTATTCATAAGTGAGAGACCAGGAGACAAAAACTAAAAATACAGGTTATTGTTTCTGATCAAGGAAGGAAAATGTAAAAAAAATAATCAATCATTTGGCCATTTTTATCCATGTAGACTTGAATTCATACATGTGTTATACAAATCTTTTCATGATAGGAGGGATTTATCTAAAATAAAAATGTGCTTTCTCAGAATTCTCTAGGAACTAAACCATTGACCCCTAGCCCTTCAATTGCCATGGACGTTGATCTACTGTATACATATGGCTGACATGATGGAAATTTCCTTACTACGTACTGAGCTAGTACATATGGAGACTTTTTAACACTTAATGCGTAATGTATATCCTTTACACTACAGTGACATTGACCTGTTTATTAAGAAAAACTGGAGATCTCCTCGACTGCAAAATTTAAAACTTCAGTTATGAGACCCCCTCCCTCTAAAACAAACTAAGCCATCCGCGTCACAGTGCTTTCGATAAATAAAAAAACACTAGGATATTTCTCAAATGGAGTCTTAATACAAAAAAATCACTTGTTATGACAAATTTTTGGCACGAGTTTTGCCATAGAGCAGAATGTAAATTCTACTTTCTGTTCTTATGGTTTAACACAGAAAATGTCAGGTGATCGGTCCCCATTTCACCCAGATCGACTCTATCAACTTACAAGCAACTTGTCCGTATATCCCGTTGTTATTAATGATACAGCTTTAACATACTAAGATCATTTTCTGCTTACCTCAGTGAAATCCGAATTTACATCTTCATTTCAATTTAGTCTATGTTAGGCTACGTCAAGTTCTCATCTGTTGTTTCACGTTCGTGCTAATAGGCTATGGCCGCGGCGAGAAAATGGCAAGATCACGTGACCGGAGTAAATGACACACACAATCCTTCATGTGGTATTAAAATCATTCTCATACGAATTTGCAGATATGTAAGTTTGGAAAATAAAATTAAAAAGTAAAACAAACATTTTATGATAAAGCAAAATTATATTCAATCCCATATTAGTACATTCCATGAACCGAAAGCGAAAGTAGAAATACCCACATTCGGCTAAGTACAAACTAATGGTTTAAAATATACGCAGGTATGTTCCGGCTTTGAGTACATGCAAGATTTGTTTCTTGCAAATAATTCGATTTATTCAAACTTTGAATGATGCAGTAGTTGCTGGTTTATCACACTGAAGCATTCTAATATAACCTGACTGATTCAAATGCAATGCAATTCTGCACAATGTTTATATATATGCACTTTTGCTACTTAATGTGTGGCAATATATATATATAATTATAATTATGATAATATATAACAATGGAAACACAAAATGTATTAATAAATGTTATGTATACAAGTTAGCTCATCATCAGCTCAAATCTACGCTAAAGTGTCCAGGGGAATGTTTAAAACTGGCAATAGATGAGTACAAACATGTTTGAATTGCATATATCCCCCCCCCCCCCCCCCCCCCCACACACACACACACACACACATGGAACCACCCCACCCCCACCCCCTGGAAATTTGGAAACCCCCCCAGATAGGTCTCTGGTTCCGCCACTGCACTGTACATGTTGCAGTTTGATTGAACATCTAGCTGTTCTGGATTCCTTGTAGCATTTGTTTTAACTGTGTATTTTTGAAGTCATCAAAGAAATGACCTGCTCAGAGAAAATTGCTTTATACACTATTCTATCCGAACATGTTACAGTTCGATATCCATGTAGTATTGTTTATAGAATAGGCGTTTTCAGAAAATCAAGGGAACTCATGCTTTCACTTTCGTCTTGAATCTCGGAAAAACCCGTCATTTTATAGGACTAAACTATTACACATGTCTGCGTCATATTGTCAGAAATTAAGTTATGAGCTGTACATGTGTTATTTTCTCTGTTATCTTTTATTCTGCATGACCGAAACTATTGACAGTCATCTAATGATCACGGTGGCGACCGATAAAACTTTGTTTTGCATCTTTTTCTCCTTGGCGAAGATCCTGTATGTTACACAGCAAGTCATACTGGCGTTTAAATAATTCAAGTTCCCAGAATTAGGCAAAGATACTCCCCCGATATTTATACCGATTAGTCTTATATGCACTATTGACGTCTAGAACTGTTTACTTCCACACTATCTTGCATTTTCCAGGAGTTTCGCTCACTTATGCTCTCTGAACCTATGCCGAGTTTCCTCTGGCCCTGACACCAGACTTGGACATTTTGACAGATAGGTTAGATGCCAACACCAGACATCAAACGTTATCTGTCAACATGTCTAAGTCGGTTGTCAAGGCCAGAGGAAACTCGGGCTATCTGAACCTGACAAAATCAAAGGCCCCACAAGTGAGTGTCACCCCTTAAGTATAGAGGATGTCTGTCCTGGTGTAGGTTTTTTTGTAGATATTTCTGACCAGATAATTGGAGTCGTTTTCTTGTAAATCACCTTCCATGTCTAGGGGCTTGCCTTCTTTCTCGTGTTCTGTAAGTTATATGCTGCTTGCTTAGGAGGTGTACAAAGTGTTCTTTGGTATTATTGTGGCAGAGTTTAATTGTACATAAGATTACGGTCGCCTTCGAGCTAGAGGGAATTTCCCTTTAGCTTATTGTAGAGCGTCCGACTAGGGACCGGGAGATGGAGGGTTCGATCCCCGGTGGAAGCACACTATTCTCTTTCCTGTTACATCATAAATTTGAAAACTTGCAACATGTCTGACACAAGTCTCTTGTACTCCATATACAGTGGGTAGCCTTAGAGCTCCGAGTCTCTCTGGATGTGTTAGGTATTCGATACAAGGGAGAAGTTGAGTGGCCCTCCTCTGGACTTTTTCGATAGTTATTTGATCCTTTTTAAGGATCATCCGATGGGTGCCCAAACTACTACGGTCTAACGAGAGATTTATAAAAAGTTATGAGCATGGCCTTACTGTACAGCTAAATGTCCTAGATATCATTCCTACATTTCTGTTTGCTTTGGCTACTAACAACTTTAAATTACAGTAGTTCCATTGGTCACTTAGTCCAGGTCCCTTGCACTGTTGATATTTTGTATTTCATGTACTTCCCCCTGTGTCGGTGATTTTGTAAGAAGTGTCATATTTATATTTATAATATACAGTATACATTTAAATGTTTGCACTTGTCAGTGTTTAGTTCCAACATCTAAGTTTTCGTCCAGTTGTTCCATCGGTGTAGGTCCGCCTGAGGTTGCTGTCCTTGTGCTCCTTGATCCATTGCATGATACATTTCGGTATCTACATAAATGAGAAACGATGGTCGTACTCCCATTGTAACTTGGCACGTGCTGGATTCACATCCGTTTATAACCACGGTGGTATGCCTCTGTATGCGTCCTAACTGGTCGTGTGACATGAATTGAGGCTTGTTTTCTGTCTCTAGTAAATATGCTGATGTCCTTGTCATTAATGTTAATGCTGACTGCTGCCACTGCTAGAGGCAGCTAGTCGGGAAGTTCCTCTAGTACACATTGTAGCCTACTGTACGATACTGTACAGTACAATCCCCCCCCCCCCCCCCCCCTCCTACCTTTCATCATTCTTATCACAGTATGTGTGTTGGAAAAAAGGGGAAACAAACAAGCAACAGTTTTCATTCCACGAAACGTGTCTCTGAATGCCATTCAAGTGTTATTAACAGATCATCTAACAGTAGATATTTTTCATGGAATGTGTCTAACAATCTAACATTAATTTTGGCTGTTGACTTACACTTTTAAACAGATGAAAACACTGGCAAACTTCGTTACTCCCCATGAAACACTGAACCCAAAATATATCGCTCACTAAATCGCACTAACAACACTCTAGCATTGTGTGAAATATATAAATGATGAATTGGAGATCAAAACCGAATAGAATGATATAGATCTAAGTACTGTACTGACATAAATCGACACTTATTGTACTACGACGTTTAGTACTAGTCTAATATTAATACCCGGCTTCCTCTGCCTCGGCCGCTACGACGTTGTGTCCCTCCACTTGACGTGCTTATAAAACATGCTACTGAATGTGTTACTTACCTGTGCTGGTCATTGATAATATAAAAGTCTGTATCTCAAGGTGGATCCCTTGTCGAATCGAAAGTAACGATCTTTTTGAATACTGCAGTAGAGCGCCCCATCCTTGTTTCTCACATTAACATAAACATTAATATTTGCCGTTTTCATAATTCCAGTATCTTAACCACTTCCCCGTTCCTTGGTAAAATAGATTCAAACAGATACCGCAAACATCGTGGCATTCTTGGTCCTGATAGGTTTTGTTCCATTGTGAACTCCATGGCAGAGTAAGATGAAATAGCTGACTTCGAAGACTGACGTAATATGACATCGCAACATGACGTCATACAAGAAACGACGTCATGGAGGAATAGTGCCCGTGGGAAAGGGTGTCACGGAGAAATAAAACCCGGAGAGTGATAGTCGGCTGGAGTAAAATATATATGAACTGTTACCGCACATTTTTCCAGTTTTGATGCATTTTATAAGTACATCCAAAGGGGGCCCCTTTCTGTTCAGAGTCCAATAAAATAACAAAAGCCTTCCATATGCAGACAGTTATGATTTTATTCACTTTTTGCAAACCATATACTTTATATTCCAACAAGTATGACAAATAGAACAATAACACAACAGTGACTGAAGATAACAGACTTCCACGCCATTGTTGTCGTCTGCTTGAGTCACTTACGGGAGAGGAACATGCTGTTTTATTATCCCATTATGGCCCTTTCCCGAGGGATTGCTTTCTGATAGTTGTTAACAGTGCCCTTCAGGCGAACCTACACAACAATATTGTAAGAGTAATTACAAACAAATAAACAACAAACTACAACTAACACTTTCTCGACCTTCTGCTGATATGACGCAACTGAATGTGGAGTTCCACAGGAAACGACTTCACGGAGGAATAGTGCCAAGAGGATTGTCGTCCAGAGTTAAGGTGCGAATTCAAGGAAGAAGATACTATACTTTAGGTTCAACAAGTTCCCTGAAAGAGTTTTTAGTCATCCAAAAGTTCAACCCCCTGATAGGTTATACTCAAATACCCCAATTAAAAATCGGAACTTCTATATGTAGTACGGATATACTGATCTTGCACATTAGCTATTAAAATGTTCCATAGCGAGGTTAACCGATGTTTTCATAAATTTATATAAATATATAGTTCTCCAGACTTATTACATGTCAGTCTCTTTATAGCGACCCGACCGAATGCTATGAACTGGCATTATATACTACATGTTTGTTTTATGTTTAACGTCCTATTAATTAACAGCTATGGTCATTTAAGGACGTGCCAGGTTGTGGTACTACATACTACATGTACCTGGAGTTCATTTATATACCTAAGTCATGTGGAGATTTTATAACGGTCTGTTATTTCATAAAATAAGAACTTGTTTATGAGGATTTGTGCACAGTTTTTGAATCCAGCACAAAGGCAGGTTTACATCATTATCATCAAAGGGCATTTGGAGAGTTGTAATACAGAAACAAACATGTCGAAATTCCGCCTTTTGAAATATTGAAAATGAAAATGTAGTGTTTCCTTTGACTTCAAGCAATCGTTGTTCTTTGATCAAGCAGGAAAAGTTCAACTGTTTACAGGATCAGTTTATTAGAATACCATACACACCTACGGTCGAGTGGTGGTTTGGACATCAAAGTCGAGAAACACAGACGTTTGTTTCATTTTGGATTCCAAGTTGCATTCTGTTATAGTTATAGTTATAGTTGTTTTCCGGTACAGGAACTACTGTAGTTCCTCTACACCGGACTCTATTATCCATACTAAAGTTTTTAACGTTCACTTCCTATCCTAGTTGCTTTATAATTATAAAACATGTTCTGATTTTTCCATGCTTCGTCCAGTGCATTTTTAAAAGTGTTTATGTTAGGGGACGATACTACGCTGTCTGATCTATATATCACGCCGAAGAATATTTTCTCTAGTACGTTCAGTGGTATTTCTATAAATTTATTTTCTTGAAATTCTGTATGAAGTTTGATTTCTTTCGCTGAAAGCATTTTATGTACATAGAGTAGCACACCTCTACCAATATTGTAGTCAGTATTCCGATCAAATATCATGTAGTCAGTATTTCCGTCAATGGAGAATTCCAGTGGCCTCATGTTGAGTGATCTTATCTTTGGTGCGCACCTCTGTGATTCCAATTATTTCAGGCTTGATCTCATTTACTCTCAACGTTAATTCCGAAAGTTTGTTTTTAAATTGATCGGCATTTGTGTACAAACATTTTAGAAGTTCGAATGTGATACCTTTTATTGAATTTGCTGTAAAATTTTGATAAGTTGATTCAAGGTGAGGCCCTGTTTTCTCGGAGGTTTTTAACGCTTAGATTTCCTTTGTCTTATATCGTTTTGAGTGTTCTTCGCGAATTTTACTAGTCACCGTGCCCATGGAGGCCCGCGTACTCTGAAGATATTTTTTTCGGAGTGAGCTAGATAAGCAAAAAACGGTATGCCGGGTGGCGGATTCCGGAAAGTTTTCATGTGGAGATAGTAATTGTGCGTAGGCGGTTGTGAATATCCGGATAGGACTAAGAACGATAAATGTAAGCGTTGGTTAACAATACTGAAAACCACGGACTTATATAAAACTAAGTGAATCAGTGGATTATTTACTTAATTTAACAATGTGTATCAGTATATGATAATTACATGTTTATGGGGGAGGGGGAGGTGCTAAGCAACACCCTAAACCTCATCCTCGATATCCAGGGGTTACGCTCACTTTCGCTGTCGTGTAGAAAGCGTAGGTGATCGTAACCCCTGGAAATCGAGGATGCCTAAACCTATGCCCCCATAATCATGACATCATCATGGGTTGTGTATTGCTGTGACGTAATCAATTTTCGCGTTACCGACGGAATTATCTCCCCCTGTTTTCAATAGGTGTGTGTATTGCGTGTGACGTCACCAATTTCGCGTTACCGACGGAATTAGCTCCCCTGTTTCTAACTTTTACCTTCTGATTTTCAGATATTCTCTCCGGGACTCTCTCTCTCTCGGCGATGCTTGGCGAGAAAAAACAGCAGCAAGGCATACAAAAATAAAAATCGCATTTCCTTGTACATTGACTCAATAAAAAATTAGACAGAAAACTGAAAGTCTTGTGGTCCTGATTTTCACGTCTTCATTTTTTCTTCGTTTTGGGGTAAACATGTTGTCATGAACAAGAGGGTACCTGTTTGATATACACGGCAAACCCCACATGTGCATGACAATAAAAAAATATCTTTTCTCTCTCTTTTTTTTCTTTTAAATTTTCACTATGTACAATTCATTTTCTTTTACAATGAAATTCACTATAAATAAATAATTTACATTATATACAACTTACAATTAATAATCTACGTTATATACAACATGCAATAACTAACTAACATTATATACAAATTACAAATAAATAATGGCAGTGGCTATTACCACCCGAGTGTCAATAGCCACTGCCGCGCGGCGTGGCTATTGACACTCGGGTGGTTATAGCGACGGCCATCTTAAATTCGTGGCATCCTTATTTTATGAACGTGTATCTCCTTCAGTCGATTTGAAAATACCCCCCACTTAAATTGTGTTTTGATTGGATACGGATAACGTTTTATCAACGATAGGACCATGGTTCAATAACGGGTACTAGCCTCGTCTAGACGAGTCTAGTAGTTTGGCCGCTCAGAAGCTATTTCATTTCCCTGTACAATACGCACCAGTCTGTTATCAATATTGTTTGATTTTACACTCTCCTAGTATTAAAGTCCGTGGTACGTGCAAAAACAATTGTCTTCATATCTAATAAATAAATACAGTCAATTCGTCATCCAAATATATACTAGTACATATATTGTCAATTAGTTACACGACCTACGATACAGATGTGTTGACAGACGAGGCTGTAGTGCCCGTTAAACCGTTATCCGTATCCAATCAAAACACTCGTTACGCGAGTATTGCATCAGAGTATTTTAAAGGCGTATTTGGAAATTCATGGAAACTCATACTTTCGTTTTCGTTTTTCCAATCTCAAAAAACACGAATCAGGTGGCTTGTTTGGACTTTTCGCCTGTGTGAAGTCGATCAATGCGAATATCGATAATTGTTTTCTAAGTATCATATGACCAAAAACAATGCTACAATTCGGGTATTTCCGTCGAGTGTATCCACAATTCCAGAGGAATTGATTCAACTATTGTTATAATGGTTGATAAGACGTAAGTATAGTTACGCCTACTGTATATGAAGGTATGACTACAGGTATTCATTTGATATATTTTATTTTGTTTTTGTGACTATATATATGTCTAGGAGGCATTTTAATTAACTCCATGCATGTCAAGGGCATTATTTGGTTGATCGATTGTGGATTGAAGTGGGTCAGAGTCCTATGTTAGATCCCGGTTATTCAGGGGGTTTTCCTGTAAAACATGATAATGTATAGGAGAAGGTTTTATCAAAGTTTAAAAAACGTCTGAACTGCTGATCCCATTGGTGACACTTTGGGGTAAGACTGTCTTGAACGTTAAAACTTTTTATTGTAAAAGGATATTCCAGTTTATATTGGGATATTCCAACTGCTAGTACAGGAAAAAATATAATGAAGGCTATTGATTAAAGAATATGGTCAACCCAAGTGAGTGCTTCCTGGTCGGTCTTGTTTTGCTCAGAGTCCTATGTTAGGTCCCGGTTTTGCTTGGTGTTCCTTATTTAGATTATTCGTTTTTGTCTGTAAAACATGATAATGTATAGAAGAAGGTTTCATCAAAGTTAAACAAACAAAAAATGTCTGAACTGCTGATCCCGTTTGTGACACTTTGGGATAAGACTTAGTGGAACGTTAAAACTATTTATTGTGAAGGATATTCCGGTTTATATTGGGATATTTCAACGGATATGTCTAATTCTCAAAATCACCCAAAATTCTATGTTTTCTGCCAAAACAATTGTTGTGGTCATCTCAGCACAACACACGTATTATATATTGAAGTACTGTGTATACTGAAGGTGTGTATGAAATTTGAAGTTAATCTAACAATTATTAAGTAATGTCTAATTCTCAAAATCACCCCAAATTCTATGTTATTGGCCCAAAATATGAAGAAGAAAAAAACAATGAAAAAAAATCCCCACTTTGACTCCAACAGACTGCAACAGAAGATTCATGCAATATTTCAACACCATAATGCCATTATTAATTGATTAAGAAGCATATAACGAAAACTTAACGCAATGTTTATTATCTGTAGCCACATTGTGTGACTAATAATTTCCAGGTGTAGAGTTTACCGATATCACCAGGTGTAGAGTTTACCGATATCACCAGGTGTAGAGTTTACCGATATCACCAGGTGTAGAGTTTACCGATATCACCAGGTGTAGAGTTTACCGATATCACGCGTACGTTTAGTTTTAGATTTTGATCGAATATTTCTCCTAATAGCTTTCGGACGCTGTTTTGCATCAGCTGCAAGTATTTTTTTTTTTTTTTCCTGATTTTTTTTTGTGTCAGTTCTAACTTAATTTTTTTTATTTGCAGTACTCTCGCCTGGTAGTGTGGTCATCCGAAACAATCAATTTCTTCCCGAGTGCATGTTTATTTTTTCTGATAAGGCCACTGGTTTTATCATCGATCGGGTACCCTTGTTTTTGGTTGTGCCCATTTCGTTGTTTTCTAAGGGGAACATGTGTTTGTTGAATTTCCTGCACCATATGGGAACAAATATCTCCAGCTATTGTTTATGTCATTATTCCGAAAGCATTGCATTCTGAGCAGTTTAGGTTTCCAATGTCTGCATTTATTGCTACATGAAGTCAGACATGTCGTATGAAGGTCTTAAGTGAGCAGTTTCTTCTACAATAGTATAACACTTATAAATGAAAGTCAAGACACAATGATTTCTCTTTCCTAGAGGGCTTTGGTGCTCGATATTAATTACTACATTTTCTTCATTTTTTAAAATAAGATCAAGTAAGTTAGGTTTGTTCGTTTCTCTCCAGTGAGTTGGTTTTCTGACATGTTGGTAAAGCCTTAAAGCACCCTTTACGCTCTCTACGAAGAGATATTCTGGCGATTCCGCACTGTCCCCAGTGGTGTTCCATGTCTACCAATTAAGATATTATGGTAATTAAAGTCACCCACTACAAGTACATGAGATGAATGTTTGTTCGATATTTCTGACAAAAGAATTCTCATATTCATATTATTTTCCCTTTCTGATCTGTACATCAAACACACCAATAGTTCGTCACCTAGGTTTAAGTTTATACTCACACGAAGATATTCTTCAAATATAGATTTAAGTCTGACTTCTTTACTAACTAAATCTTTCTTGACATATATATCATAAGGCCCATACTTTTGTTCTTATTGAGAATTTTTGAATACATGACAAAGTTATCTCCAAGGTTATATTCAAATTCTACAACTATAAATTGTCGGGTTTTGCGTTTACCTCAGTAATATATACATGTTTATGCAAATTATCATTTTTGGTCCTTGTCGAAAGATCATCTAATTTGTTCATTAACTGATCCGCGTTAGTGTAAAAATCTTTTTGGTCGATCTTTTTTCTCTCTTGAAAGTACACGCCGAGATTATCTTCTGTATAACGTTTATGCCGCCTGATTTCCTCTCGACAGCCACAGACGAGTTGTTGTCTTGAATGTCATCTACGACTAGATTATCTCGGTCATCACCGTCACGTGTTGGGTGCTTCTTGATTGGTGTATTTCCGACAACGTTTAATAATATTACTTTTACAAAACTCCATACTTCAACATAACAGGTGTAACTTCACGGTTCATTATGCCAGAGACCCCTAGGTTCATATAATGATAATGCTACATGCACTAGACAATAGAAGAGTTCCACTTCCTAGCAACCACACTGAGGTGAAAACTAACCTAGAATACTAGCCAAGCCTTACTAACTAAGCAGACACATTATTTAGTGCAGTTGATTTTCGAATGTATCTCTTAAATATAATTGAATCACATGTATGAGATTAAAATAGAAACTTTGTTTTAAATCAGAAGTCCTTCTTTCCCGATGGTATTAGGATCGATCTGGAACCTTTACCAGTAGAAGTTGTCAGTGCTTCATCAATAAACAGCTTCAAGAACCATGTCAAGTCCATCAAATTCAAGCCCTGAGATTCAGATTTAAAAAAATTAACAACATGTAAATGTAAATTTCAACTGCACTGTACGTTTCTTGCACCACAAGAGGGGGGGGGGGGGGCCTAAATTGATATGTGATAGGGTGTATTTAAACAAAACAAAAACAAATGTTCAGTGGTGGGATATTAAAATACGAAACAAATGTAAGTAAAATAACAAACACTTCAATGCAGGCAATTAACCAACGTAGCTCGTTCTATTTTTTTTATATTGCATGCGACCGTTTTTGTCAAAATGGGGACTTGTGATTTTTCCCCCGTGATGTTATGTACCCTAATTATCATCACAAAATTCATTCAAATCCTAGAAATTTGGTTAGATTAAGGCTGTATTTGTATTATTTCATAAACAACTAAATTATGCTTCATAAGAGACCGCTAAGTTACCTTAGGAAAACCTTAAAGTTTTCCCAAACTTATGACTATTTCATGAATTTGTAATTATTATATATGGAATTGAATCTATTGCATATGTTCTCCGCCATTGTACAAGATATTTGTAAAGTATTTATCTATATATATATTTCTGTACGCCTATATGCAATGTGCATTTGGTAATAAATTGAATTGAGGTTGTGACCAAGTCCTCTCTCCCCAAGCCCTGGGGCAGCTAACCATAGCAGGTGAGGCCTTCACAGGTGTACATTCTCACAGGAAAGTTACTGTGTTTGATACAATCATTACATATATATGATGTATTATACAGATATAACTATCACCAGTGACGTACATATTACAATAGTATTACAGTAATATATACGTCTCTGCTATCACTAAATGGTAAGAGTCAGTGTACAGTCAAATATTTCAATACGTATACATAATAATTACATTGCATTTACATTACACCTTTTTAAAAGTGGGGAACTGAGAACAAGCCAGCCTGCCTCAGGTGTGAAATGTGTTAACAGGTAGATATATATATATACCACTCAACACACCAGTGTACAATGCTGACAGCAGGAGGCCCTGAGTACTGGACACACCTTTACTGTGTCCAGGTATACGTATAAGACATCAAAGGGCTGTCAGCAGGCCAGGATGGGGTACCTGCAGTTTGTACACACGTGCACGTGTCTCCCAATTAAGAGCAGTGACCTCTGGCTAGATATAACGGGGGAATGGATAAAGATAAAGATAAGATGTCTAAGCAATGTGACACAGGTGTTGCATTATATTTATATGCAAACCACAAAGAGTAAATGTTTAATTTTGTACGCAAATGAGTCAACAAAGATGAAGCACCCTGAGAATATAGCAAAAATATATATGCTCCGTCTGATCAGGTGGTTCAATGATAAATAGGCCTATCTCAAATCAGTGACGTATATATAACATATAAGGGATGCCAGCAAGATGGGATGGGGGTACCAGTATATATATTGTATCATTGTTTCAAGGTGACTGTTTATCTCTGTTATATGTTGTGATATGTAAATTGTCATGTTCCTGTCTTGATAAAGGGGCGGATCGTCCTGAACATTTGACAAATTTTATTGTCTGCACTGTCGTTATTACTTCTGTACCCATATATAATATATGTACATGTAATATAAACGTCTCTGCTCAAATCCATAAGACTTGTATACGTATACGTACATGCCGATTTTTTTCTTTCCTATTCTTGGTTAAAATGGTGCGTATATACACGGACTTAGATAACACGGGGCATTAGATTAGAGTGTTATCTAAGTCCGTGGTATATATAATATAGACCTTCTATTTACTATTAACGTATTTATGTACTGTACCTTCCTCAATTCACTGGAGTTAATCTTGTATTGGACAAAATATATAAATAGAGACCCCCCCCCCCCCCCCCCCCCCCGAATATCTGTATTATATGCAGCAAGACAAGACAACAAATGCCAAATATATTATCATATTATTAGATTTATGGTAATGAAGTAATTTGAATAATTAAACAACATACTTACAGATTTCAACACACTAACAATGCTCTTAATTTCAAATTAATTACCACTTAACTGTACAGCATTTATTGGGAAATCATCTGCATACTGCAGCTGGGAGCAATAGATGTAGCTAATGGGGTTTATGTATTTA